TACAGATTAGAAAGGGAAAAAAACTGTCTTTATTCACAGACGACACATCATCGATGCAGAAAAATCACAAAAAAATCTACAAAATAAGCTAATCTAACTGATAAGTCAGTTTAGCAAGGTCACAGGATACAAGGTCAATATATAAAAGACAACTGTATTTCTATATGCTAGAAAAGAAGAATTGGAAATTAAAATTAAAAATCAATACCATTAACAATAGCATCCACAAACAAGAAACGCTTAGGGATAAACATTAAAAATGTACAAGATATTTCTATGAAAAAGTACAAAACACTGCTGGGATCTATTTCCAAAAACCTAAATAAACAGGGAGCTAGATCTTGTTCATGCGCTGGAAGACTCAATATTCTTAAGATATCAATTTATGCAAAACTGATCTATATAGTCAACACAACCCCAAAGAAAAATCCCAACTGGATATTTTTTGGTAGAAACTGACTCTATAGTTTATTATGAAAATGCAAAGACTCTAGATTAGCCAAAAAGATTTTTAAAAAGCAGAACAAAGATGGAGTTCTTTATCTGATTTGAAACCGTAGCAAAAAAGCTACACTCTATATACAGTTGTAATAGCTAAAGAATAGACATACAGATTAATGGAACAGAATAGAGAATCTAGAAACAGACCCATACATATGTGGTCAATTGATTTTCAACAAAGGTGCTAAGGAATTCAGTGGAGAAAGCACTCATCTTTTAAACAAATGTGGTGCCTGAACGTACATAAAAAAAGGAGAGAAGGCAGGAAGGGAGGAGAGGGGAGTCCTTCATCTGATAGAGGACTGGCACGCAAAATATATAAAGAACTTTTACAACCCAATAATAAGGAAGCAAAACATCCAGTTTTTTAAAAGACAAAAATTTTGAACAAATACTTCATGGAAGAGATATGAATGGTAAATAAACACATGATAATCTACTCAGCATTATTAATTAGGGAAAATGCAATTAAAATCCAAAGAGATAATGTTATACACCTACTAGCATGATCAAAGCTAAATGACAACAACAAGAGTGGGAAAAGATGTGGAGTAATTGGAAATCCCAAACATTGCTTGTGGAAATGCAAAATGGTACAGCCTCTCTGGAAAACATCTTCAGTTTCTTGTAAAGTGACATGGTACTTATTATTTAACGGTGTAACTACAGGATATACTAGAGAATATGTACAATAAAGATTTTTACATGAATGTTTGTAACCACTTTATTTATAATAGCCTCAAACTACAAACAACCTAAATGTTGGTGAAGAATAAAATAGTGACAAACAATGAAACAGAACAAATGAATGATAAATGCAACAACGTGCATGAATCTCAGCAATAAGAAGCCAGACACGGGACTTCCCTGGTGGCACAGTGGTTAAGAATTGCCTGCCATTGCAGGGGACATGAGTTCGATCCCCGGTCCAGGAAGATCCCACATGCCACAGAGCAACTAAGCCTATGGGCCACAACTACTGAGCCTGCGCTCTAGAGCCCACGAGCCACAACTACTGAGCACGTGCACCACAACTGCTGAAGCCCTCACGCCTAGAGCCCGTGCTCTGCAACAAGAGAAGCCACCACAATAAGAAGTGCATGCACCAAAACAAAGAGTAGCAAGGGGCTCGCCACAATCAGAGGAAGCCTGCACACAGCAATGAACACCGAATGCAGCCAAAAATAAATAAAAAAACTAAATAAATTTATTTAAAAAAAAAGGAAGCCAGACACTAACAGCTACATAATGTACGATTCAATTTATCCAACATTTTGGAAAAGGCAAAATTATAGAGACAGAAATCAGACCAGTGCTTGGCAGGGGCTGAGGAAAGGGGAAGACATTTACTATAAATGGGCATTATAAGGAATTGTTTGGGGTAACAGAAATGTTATAAATCTTAATTGTGATGGTGGTCAGTGCATGTACACACAAACACACACACACGTCGAAATTTATTGAACCGCAACTCGATAAATCTGAATATTTTTAAAGGGGGTATGTTAGTGCATACACATATAATATCTCTGTAAGGATATTTATTTCATCTTTATTTATCAAATCCTTACATAAGATTCACTATATTTCAGACACTGTTCTACATGATGTACAAATATTAACTCACTGTGGGAGATAACTTTTTAGGAAGAGAGACCAAGAGACTGAGGGTCTCAGGGTGAAGTGAGACTAACATTTTTTTTTCACTGTTTATTCTTTTGTACTATTTAAATTCTTTTAATCACGTACATATCTTATTTTTTTTTAAGCCAACTTTTTAAAAACTGCTTTTACAGGTTTTTTAATTGCTTTTGCTACAATTCTCCGAAGATCTCCTTATTGACAAATCATCATATTCACTCCTTCTCTTATTTGATCTCTGCAGCACACGACTGCCATCTTCTTTTTAAAATCATTCTCTACTGCCCCTTTCGCAGGTATTCTTTCCTCCTCCTTCTTCCTGTACCCCCACGCACATTATCAGCTACTGAGATCTCATCATGTACACCTCAGAAGGACTGCTGGTGTCTTTCCCCTCTCCTCTCTACCACCACTGCCTTAGTTCAGATTCTCAGCATCTTTCACCTGAACAATCCTGCTAGCACTGGCCTCCCTGCCTTCAGTCCTGTCCTGCCCAAATCCATTCACTACATTACTTACAGGACTGTCTTTTGAAGAAAGCAAACCAGATCATGTCACTTTCAAGTTCAAATCTCAAATTAATAATTCAAAAGCTTTTACTTCACATAAAAACAGTGGTCTCAGCTATTCCTGACTTTCCAGATTCATCTTCACATATCTAGAATTTTAATTATACTATAATTTTTGTCATATGATTAAAGCTCCTCACCCCTAACACTTACTGGTCAGTCCTTGCGTGCAGGGACAAAATTCCAGTCATCCCGTTATCTTCAATTTTAAGTGTTTGGTATTTAGTGGGGGTGGTGGTTAATTTTATGTGTCAACTTGTCTGGGCTACACTTCTCAGACATTTGGTCAAATGTTATTCTGGGTGTTTCTGTGAGGGTGTTTTTGGAAGAGATTTACATTTAAATCACTGAACTTTGACTAAAGCACATGGCTCTCTATAATGTGGGTGGGCCTCGACAGTTGAAGTCCTGCCTAGAAAAAGGCTGACCTTCCCTGGAGCGAGAGGCAGCTCTCTAGCCAATCGCCTCGGACTCTGCAGCTCTTTCCTGAGTCTCCAGCCTGCCAGCCTCCCCAGAAAATTTTGGACTAGCCAAGCCTCCAAAATTGCATGGGCCAATTCCTTAAAAAAATCTCCGTGTGATACACACACGCACATGCACACGCACGCATGCATGCGCACACACACACACACACACACTCTCTCTCTCTCTCTCTCTCTCTCTCTCTGTGTCGGGCTCTGTTCCTCTGGAGAACCCTAACTAATAACACAGTGGGTAAGCAAAAAACGTTTTTCGGGCTTCCCTGGTGGCGCAGTGGTTGAGAATCTGCCTGCCAATGCAGACAACACAGGTTCGAGCCCTGGTCTGGGAAAATCCCACATGCCATGGAGCACCTGGGCCCGTGAGCCACAATTACTGAGCCTGCGCGTCTGGAGCCTGTGCTCCGCAACAACAGAGGCCGCGATAGTGAGAGGCCTGCGCACCGCGATGAAGAGTGACCCCCACTTGCCACAACTAGAGAAAGCCCATGCACAGAAATGAAGACCCAACACAGCCATAAATAAAATAAATAAATACATTGTGTATAAAAAAAAAAAAAAAAAACGTTTTTCAAATTAATGAAATTAATGTCAGTTTTTTGTTCTATTTTATTTTCACGTAACTTACAAATAAATGTCTATGAGATTTATTTTGACATATTTTTATAAATCACCTAGCAATTTTAAGTCAATATAAATGTGTTAAGTTAAAACAACATATACACAATATAGGAACTATAGAAACTTGAACACATGTTAGGTTTCATGTTACAAACACTTTTAAAAGAAGAAAAAGCATTCATTAGCCAGGTTATAAAAACAGAATTGAAATCTCCAGTGATATCACACAAATAATTTTTAATCACTCAAAATAACTGCCTAGATATTCGTAGTAGCTTAAAAAGAAAAGCATATCTAAATATTTTTTAATAGATGATTTCATTTCTACTCTAACCTTCAGAAAGGTGTTCCTGCAGAAACTGAAAACATCCCTGAAACAGAATCCTTATGTGAGAAAATGGCATGGAAAAAAGCATATCGTTTATGATAGAAATAATTATTATGCCTGTTTTGTGAATGTTCATACAAATAAAATATTTAATAAAAATAATTTATACATATGTATAGATAAAATAATAATTTAATACAAAGTGAAATGAAGCCAGTTCCTGCCTAGTTATCTGCCAAGTCCTGAATTCAAGGTTCTCAGCTTCTCTTGTAACAGAGGTAGGTGTTAATGATGTCATTACCTGCTACAGAAGAAACAGGGGACCATGAACACAAGTCTTGGCAGAATATAAACACCCTCTGAGTTTACCTTTAATTTAAAGTAAACAGAAAAATTAGTCTATAGAGTGTCTGTCCTATATAGCTCCTGCCCTAAAGGTGTAATCAGGATCTTTATTTCTAGTGTTTTCAGCTGTATTCCAGAAATAAAGGCTTAACAACCTCTATTCTTAAAAAAGCACAAATTAAAACTGTGTACATAAGGCAAAAATCATCAGTCAGTAAGCTAAAAATTATTACATTGCTATTATATAAGATACATATACTGATACAATGAACTTTTCGTATTTTCTAATTGTTAAGATTATAATATTTTATCTTGAACCCTCAACAGCTGTTATTTTATACCTGGAGAATCTATCTTTAAAGAGATGAAGATACCACCTTAGAAAAGTTAAAACTTGACGTCTATTTTAACACCAGTTAAGACAGTACTTAGAGTCAAGGAACACTGGGACAGAACTTGCTCATCACTTTTGTACCCTGACAGGATAGAACTTGTCCATGTAAATTTAACTCTCACCTTGTCAAGTTGATCTTGAAGACTAGTGGATGCTTTATAACCAAGCTGTAACAGCATTGCTTCTGCAGCATTTTTTTTGGCTATCTTTTTATTAGGTCCTGTTCCAGTAGCAACTTCATTGCCTACCTTGACCTGGTAAGATTAAAGTAAGAAATTAATGACAGCTGCTTTGGTAACAAACCTTAACACCATAAAGCAATGTGTTCTGCTCTCTAGCATTCAAAAATATAAAGTTCAGTCCATAATAAAACTGGCAATTAAGATCCCTTTTATGTAAAATATATATGAATATATACATGGAGAAAAGTGTGGAAACATGGTCCTCAAAATGTCAGTGGGGGTGATCTCAGGATGACAGAATCTTAGAAGATTTTTAGTTCCTTACATATTTCTATATTATTTGATTTTTAAACAATAAACTTGTACTATTGATATAAGCATAAAAATAAAATTCACATTGTAGAGAGTTGATTATGACTACATTTAGTATTCTTTACTTAATAAACTGAAAAGGCTGAAATTCATGCTGCTGCCACTTAAAATGGGCAGAGGACCTGAACAGACATTTCTCCAAAGAGGACGTGGAGATGGCCAAGACGCACATGAAAAGATGCTCAATATCGCTAATCATGAGGGAAATGCAAATCAAAACCACAATGAGCTATCACCTCACACCTGTCAGAATGGCTATCATCAAAAAGAACACAAATAACTAATGTTGGTGAGGATGTGGAGAAAAGGGAACCCTCCTGCACTGTTGGTGGGAATGTAAATTGGTGCAGCCGCTGTGGAAAACAGTGTGGAGATTTCTCAAAAGAACTAAAAACAAAATGGGGGAGAGGGATAAATTGGGAGACTAGGATTGAGATATACACACTACTATACAAAAAAAAGATAACTAATAGGGACCTACTGCACAGCACAGGGAACTCTACTCAAAACTCTGTAATGACCTATATGGGAAAAGAACCTAAAAAAGAGTGAATATAAGGTATATGTATAACTGATTCACTTTGCTGTACCCTAAAACTAACACAACACTGTAAATCAACTATACTCCAATAAAAACTATTAAAAAAAAAAAAAGAACTACCATATGTCCCAGCAACTCCACTCCTGGGTATATATCTGAAAAAAACAAAACCACTAATTCAAAAAGATACATGTACCCCAATGTTCATAGTAGCATTGTTTAGGACTGCCAAGATATGGAAGCAACCTAAGGGTCCATCAACAGATGAATGGATAAAGAAGATGTGGTATATACACACAATGGGATACTACTCAACCATAAAAAGAATGAAATTCTGCCATTTGCAACAACTTAGATGGACTTGGAGGGTATTATGCTAAGTGAAGTAAGCCAGACAGAGAAATACAAATACTGTATGATGTCACTTATATGTGGAATCTAAAAAATACAACTAGTAAATATAACAAAAAAAGAAACAGACTTACAGATACAGAAAACAAACTAGTGGTTACCAGGGGGGAGAGGGAGGAGGGGAGAGGCAATATAGGGGTAGGAGATTAAGATGTACAAGCTACTATGTATAAAATAAGCTACAAGGACATACTGTACAACACAGGGAATATAGCCAATACTTTATAATAACTAAAATTGTGAATTATTGTATTGTACACCCGTAACTTACATAATATTGTACAATAACTATATGTCAATAAAAGTCTTTAACCCAAAAAATAAATTTTAAAAATGATATCATTTACAAAGGTTTACATTAAATAGTTCCTGAAGACAATTAATATATAAAGGTTAGTACAATACTGTGGTTAAGAACAAAGACTTTCAAGTCAGATTTAGTTGAAATCCAACTCTACTACATCCTAGCTGCGTGAACTGATTCAAATTATTTACTGTCTCTAAGCCTCAGTTTTTTCATCAGGTAAAGAGGGATCATACAATGACCTAATAGTGTTGCTTTGAAAATTAAACACAAAAATGTATGTAAACTACAGTGTATGTTACAGTATGTGAGTATAAGTACTCAACAAATGGTAGCTTTTTATCATTAGAACTATTCCACAGTTACCTTTTGTGAACACTTGATGTTCACATGTATATATGTACATCAACATATTTAAATATACATCAGTCATTTTATATCCACGTGTACATTTCTTGAGTTGGGTAATGATTTTTTAGACTTGCATGTACTGAGATAATACAAATATAAAAAGTAAATTAGAGGGCTTCCCTGGTGGCGCAGTGGTTAAGAATCTGCCTGCCAATGCAGGGGACACAGGTTTGAGCCCTGGTCTGGGAAGATCCCACACACCGCGGAGCAACTAGGCCCGGGAGCCACAGCTACTGAGCCTGCGCGTCTGGAGCCTGTGCTCTGCAACAAGAGAGGCCGCGATAGTGAGAGGGCCGCGACAGTGAGAGGCCCGCGCACCGCGATGAAGAGTGGCCCCCGTTTGCCACAACTGGAGAAAGCCCTCGCACAGATACAAAGACCCAACACAGCCAGAAATAAATAAATTAATTTAAAAAAAGAAAAGTAAATTAGAAAACAAAAAAGGAAAGAATTACAAGGAGAAATAGAAAATACACAATGAGAGTGGAATTTGTTTTTATACGTTGTTCTCATTTAAGTGAGAGAAGCAGACAAGAAGATAATCACAATTTTGGAAATTAAACAATCTAAATAATCTATGGGCAAAGAAGAAATCTCACTGGAAATTAGAAAAGGTTTTAATAATAATGGAAATACAATATATCAAAACTTGAAGGATGTAGCTAAAAGAGTGTCTAGAAGAAAATAAATAAGCCATAAAAGCTTAGAGAGGGCTTCCCTGGTGGCACAGTGGTTGAGAGTCCACCTGCCGATGAAGGGGACACGGGTTCGTGCCCCGGTCCGGGAAGATCCCACATGCAGCGGAGCGGCTGGGCCCGTGAGCCATGGCCGCTGAGCCTGCGCGTCCGGAGCCTGTGCTCCGTCC